ATATCTAACCATCTATGTGTGACTCAGTGTTATGGTCTGAAAATGCAAATCATTTTCCTACAGATGATCCTCCTTTATGGCTCAGTATTACTCCATTATGTATATATGCCACATTTTCTTGATTTATTCATCTGTTAATGGATGTTTAGGCCACTTGCAGGATTTAGTTGTTATGAGTTGAGGGCTGACACACATAAAGATGCATATGTATTATCAATGTAATATTATGTCTTTAACTCATTCAAGAAGATCCTTAGGAGTAATATAGCTGAATTACATGGAATTCCTATTTTTAATTTTTTGAGTAATCTCCATACTGCTTTCCACAGTGGTTATACTAGCTTACATTCCCATCAACAAGGGAAGAGGAATCTTTTTTCTCCACACCCTTATCTACATTTGGATCATACTCATTCTTATTGGAATAAGATGGAATTCAGTGTTGTTCAGATTTGCTTTTCCCTAATGTCCAAAGATGCTGAACATTTTTCCATGATTGGCCATTCGTACTTCTTCATTTGAGAACTGTCTATTCATTTTAGCTGTTTATTTTTAATTGGGTCTTTTTTGGAAGAAGCTCAATTTTTTAAATTATTTTTAATCATGTATTTATTTATTTATTTATTTGGTACAGAGTCTTGCTACACAACTTGGATCAGAGTGATCCTCCTTTCTCAGCTTCTCCAGCACTGGGATTACAGGCGTGCACCACCACGCCCAGTTGCAGGCCAGTGCCCCACGTGGTACCAGGGATTGAAACCAGGTCCTTGCGCTTGCCAGGCCAGTGCTTAGACCACCGAGCTATCTCCCCAGCCCTTGAGTTCTTCATATAGACTAGATACTAGTCCTCTATCAGAAGAGTAGCTGGAGAAACTGTTTCCCATTTATAGAATACCTCTTCATTCTGTTGGTTGCTCCTTTACTAGTCAAATGCTGTTTACTTTGATATAGTCTCATTTATTGATTTTTGGTGTGATTTCTTATGAAATCACTATTACTTTAGGAAGGCTTTGACTACACCTATGGCTTCAAGAGGGTTTTTGGGGGTTTTTTTACCAGTTTTAGCTTCCAGCAGATTCACTGTTTCACATGAGCACTAGAATAAAGCTGGAATGCTGGAATGTTATTGGCCCTTCACTGAATCTGCAGATATAAATGGGAGAATGGACTTCTTAACTACTGTGTCTTCCAATTCATGCACGTTTTATCTCTGTCTTCCAAAAGAGCTCAGTTATTTTAAATTATCACTATATCTGCCTTTCACATCTGTTAAATCCTAAGTATTTTACTTTTTTATGTACTATGAACGGAACTTTTAATTTTATAATGGCTTGTGCTATTCTTTATAAATACAATTGTGTTTTGTATATTGACCTTGTATTCTGTGTCCTTGCTCTCTTCACTTATATCTAAGTTCTTGTTTTTAGGAGATTCCTTATTGTTTGCTATATAAACAATTGTGGCCATGACAAATATAAAATTTTTCTCCTTTCTGTTCAGGGTGACACCTTTTGTTTCTCTTAGGTACTTTATTACATTGGTCTTTATTCCAGTGTAATAACAAAGAGAAGTGGTAACAATATATTCTTTGCCTTGTTCCTTTCTCTAAGGAGAAAACTTCAGTCTTTTCCCTCTAAGTATATTATCTTTTTTATTATTGTTGGGTCTTTTTCTGGGTTCATTTACCGGACTGAAAAAGGTTCTTCCCATTCCTATGGTGGATGTTATTATGTTGAAAATGTGTAGAATTTTATCAAAATCTTTCTCAGCATTTACTGAGATGGTCTAAGGATTTTTATCTGTACTCAATGCATGTGAAAATTACATCATGTTATTTTCAAACATTAAACCAATATTTTACTCCCTATATAAAAAATTTGCCAATATTTGTTTGATGAATTTTGAATCTATGCTCATAAATTAAATTCAGTCTCTATTTTCTTATAAATATCTATTAGATTTTGATTCAGTGTTACACAACTCTCATAAAATAATTTTCA